AGGACGACCACCCATAGGCTCAGCAGGGATGAAAGAGTACTCAAATGTGGCTTGTCTCTGAGGTGGAACAACTGTATTCAGAGGGAGAGCTGTGAAGTTCTGGATATAAAACTGGTAGTCTTGAGGATACCGGAAAGAAGCATCGAGAGAGTCAACAATGAAATCCTCTGCACCCTTATTGGTGAAGCCCACCAGAAATTTTACAATGTTGTTTGCCGGGAAGTCTAAAACACAAAAAATATTTAACCATTAGGAACTTCATACACCACACCTAGCCTGTTTCTAAATGGAGAGTGTCTAGAACAGATTCTGGTTGTTCAGAGCTTCACTGTTTTATGTACACATTGATACAGTCTAAGCAACTGTAAAGAAGATGGTAGATTAGCACAGGACTCTTACCTTCACCTTTCACAAATAAGATGGTTGTATCAGCACTAGGTGAGGCTTTAGGTTCTCCTGACAAGTCTTCTTCCTCTTTTTCTTCTGTCTAAGACAAGAGACTTTTTTGAAAAATCCTATAATGAACAGTGAAGCAAAGACCATGCTTGTTTCACGAGAATCCCATGGGTAAAAGCACGCAACAACAGCACACATTAGTATCAATTCATGCTGTTGCAGGATTAGCACATAGTCTGTTCTCCCTCTAGGTTTGATCAGCATAATTATCAGCTTTTATCCTTCTACTTGTATCTGACACAGTGACTAATCTGAACTGCATTTAGCTGTATGGAAGGGTTTATAATCAGAAAGCAATAGTAAGGTTTGGAGGTGGAAGGAAAAGAATAGCATCTAAATGTTAAAAGTGTTTGTGTCTAAGCTATTTCTATTTAGAAAACAAGCATTTCCAAAATTACAGGCAACCATAAGGCAAATGAGAGTTACTTTCACTACAGAGTAAGTGTTTACAGCAGCTTTCCATTCAGTTTTAATTAGTTAAGTGTTACGTATGCCTGGAAATGGTTAGACTGTTGGAACTAAGTAAGTTCATGGATTCACTTGTTCAAGCTCACCTTTGTGATGATTCACTTTCTAATTTGGCAAATGCAGGCATTAAGGGCTCATTTTCCACATGGGAATCACCACCTCCCCAACAAATAAAAAACAAAGCTGACCCCATTTTGAACTGTCTGAACTAATTGCTTGCAAGTTACAGTTAGATCATTCACTTTCACTGCTTAACCAACCACTTGAAGCAGGGGACAGCCTACTGGATCAGTCACACATGTACCATGACCTAGGGAAGCCATGAACCCAAGCTAAGCACCAAGCATCTTGATTTCAAGATGCTATGCAAAACTGTATCTTCTTTTTCAGTGACAAATTAAAGCAACTGCCTAAAAAGTATAATGTTTTGTATCAGTCACAGACTATTTATTAAATAGCAAAGTACATCCAGAAGGTTATTTAATAATATTCTGTCAGTACTGAATACCAAGGATACCTTCCACCACTTAGTAAAGCTGGTTGACTCTAAGCTCACCAACATAGTAAAAATTTAATAGAATCAAAGAACAGTTTACCAGGTCTCCATTTTTATCATGTATGTCTTTTCCTCCTAATAACGTCCCAAACTTTATTTTACACCAGAAATTTAAGATCTTTTTGTATCAATTTAAGTACGCTAAGCATCCAGCAAGCCTAATACTCTACTGTTGTAAGCAGATCACCTAACTACATAAAATATTTCACTTTGTCAAGCTGAAGCAAGTGACCCAGAACAGCAACATGGCCACTACTATAACATGCATACCCTGCAACAAGTGTCAGAGACTAGGAATGTAGTAAGCAAAAACGGGCTGCAAAACAAGGTTTTCAGAATTAATACTGAACTTAACTAAGATTCTGTTGCCCCTCAAAAACCAGTACCAAAGAAGCCAGAATTAAGTAGTCCTATATTCCAATGTCCTTCTCAGTTTACCGAGACGCAACTTAAGCTGCAAAAGAACTACAAGGGGCTTCTGTGAGAATCTGATTCTCTCACTCAGCATTCTTGTTTTGTGAACTCCTGTTTTGGTAGTCAGAAATCAGGCTGTCCCCACATGGTTTTTCAACTGGTAATTCAAGAAGAAAAGAGAAATCCTTCTGAAACTTCAAACTGAACACAAGTTTAATTGGAGACCTGGAAACAGCAATTTGGAAATAGCAATGTTATTAAACACATTTAAATATATCTAAACTATCTAGCCTCAAGCACTTGTAGTCTAATTCATACTTATGAAGTAACACTCATGTACAATTACCAAGTCTGTTGGCTCGTCTTCTTCAACTTCAGCTTCATCATCTTCATCTTCAACTACAGTATCTTCCACAGCTTCCTCATCTTCTGTGGCATCTTGAGCTGCAACTAGTAAACCTGAACCTACCAAAACAGAATGCAAATACAAGTAAGCCATTTTAATGGCTAGTTAATCAACAGGAAACTGACACTGTAGTATAATTTTCAAACTAATGTTTGAAGAATTTCTTAAAAGCCTGCCAAATAGCTTTTTGAAGCTTCAATTGCAAAAACCTCACATTCAAATGATTGTCTGTGTCGATCTTTTAGCCTTTCTCCTTCTCTGATAACTTTCTGAACTACTCTGGTTTACATGCCAGTAAATTCAAAACCCAGCTGAATAACAGAAAGTTCAGCATTCACACAGCAGTACTTAAATTTGCAGAAGGCAACCAACTTGCCTTAAAAGCTATTGCTTAATATTTGAACCTGTCAAGGTATGAAACAAATTTAATTTTGTTTTGTCATTACAAGTGTGAAAATAAGACATTGCTATTGCCAGGAAATTAATTCAGTAAGTACTGTTTCTTCTAAAACTGTAAGTTTAATAAACGATTAGCCATGTCCTTTTCATCCGCCAGTATCAGAACACTGTATTTTCATAGGTAGTTAAAAAGTTATTATTTTTGCACTTATTTTATTCAAGTTTTAAAACAAAGTCTTTTTTAATATTACCTCCTCAATATCATATACTACTACACCCATATGTTCAACAGAACCACAACACTAGTCAGAAAAGAAACCTGACCAAGAGCACAGCTCCAGAGCCAGGCTCCAAGGTGAGTGCAATCTGATAGTTCATTGCTTCTCTGCTTTTATGGAGCTAAGTCTCATACATTCAAACACCAGGCAGAGATTATGATTGGCATAAATATCAGCCACAGGACAAAGTTCTGTCTGTTTGCAGTTTAGAGCGCATGCAGGCAAGACTGAGAACTTTTAAAGCATACATGCAAAACTACAGCTTTTTCTTTTAATAAACGTAACGTTCTCCAACAAAAAAAAATGAAAATGAATGGATGATTGATTTACACAAGCCTGAAAAAGAGATCTAATTGTTATGAGCATGCATTTAAAATATAAATATTTAAACGCTTTCACAGGCAACAAGAATCCCTGAGCAGGACAAGTACAGCCTAAGGACTTCAGGATTGTCAGTGAGAGCTAGAAAAACCAAATGCAACCCCTCCTCCTCCTCAAGTGTCTTTAGAAGGCACACTCAAGGACTTGTGCTCAACCACGTGCAATACTTAACCTAAGACTAACTACAGTGATTTTATTTGCCAAAGGTTTCAGCTCGTCAGTCTGCAAATAAAGATTTTTGTTTTTAAAATGTAATCCTTTGTATCTGAACAGGGTACAGGCAAGTTATAGGCACTTTTCACAAGCAGCTGCGCCAGCTTGTTCTCTTAAACCTCTAACGTGCAGCCTTTTCCACGGACGTCCGAGGGGCTGATGATGTGGCAATGGCGGGAAAGGAGGGGAGCTGCCGGCTGCGGGAAGGGGCGAGCGGGCTGCCCCTCTGCCCTG